TCTCCTCTCAAGTCCATTCATTTCTTTCTGCAATTGGACGGCATTGTGCTATCTGATGGATGTGTGTCTCGAAATTGGCCAGGATCATAACAACGCACACATATGGCATTCAGGAGGTCTTGGGTTCAACTCCCATTGGCCTCATTTACCTACCGGGCACACTTGGTGCCCGCCATCTAGAGACTCTGAGACCAATGGGGAACCCGATCGGCGTTGAACAGCTACTGCCAGTGTTAGTAGGGGGAGGGGACCGGAGGGGTGGCACAGCGACTGACCGCTACCGTCCAACCCCTGGTCGGTATGACTGACCTGCTGTAGCAGGTACCAAACCTGCGGGTGCTTACAGCTCCCGCATGTTCCCTCATTGGAGGGTTGAACTCGAATGTGGCTGCTATGTGGTTCCCCAGAATTCAAATGATAATAATAAAAAGTCCTGAAAGGCCATGCCCTGTCCAGATTCGACGGGTAATTGAATTGGTTCAACTTGGTTGGGCTTAAAAGAATTGCTGGCTCGTTAGACACTCCTATTGAAATCCTCGGGCAAAAGGAAAAATTCCTTTTGGTTCAAAAGGAAATTTGGGCCCTTCGTTCCACCTGTCCTCGGGGACGTCGCCCGATGACATTTCCTTCGAGCGATGTCAGAAAAGAAAAAAGAAAAGAAAAAAAAATCAAATGTGCTTGAGGCCTTCAGCCAATAGGGTGCCGCCACGAACCAGATTATCGTTTGTAACGTCTCTCTACCCATGTGCCCGCTCCTCTCCGTGAAACACGGATTCCTTTTGCCCAAGGGACCTCGTGAGGTCCCTTGGGCAAAAGGATGAAATGGCTGGGGAATCCTCGGAGCCCAAGGAATTTCCCTCGGAGTGTTTTCACTTTTTTTTCCGACTGCATCCCCGAGGATAGGTGGAACGTACAATTCCTCAGGCACTTTACGCGCCCGAGGAGTGTCTAACGAGCCCCTTAACCTTAAGAAAATGAAAAAGAAAAAAAGGACAGAATCTGATAGCTGGCCTTAAAAAAGAAAATGTGATAGCCGTTGAAAAAAAAAATCTGACAGCCTGTCAAATGAGAAAACCTGACGGTTGTCACCCATCTCCACATGAGAGAGAGAGAGAGAGAGAGAGAGAGAGAGAGAGAGAGAGAGAGAGAGAGAGAGAGAGAGAGAGAGAGAGAGAGAGAGAG